CACCGTCTAACAAAATGTCTCGTGTAAATTCAGTTTGTTTTCTGAATTGTACATTAACAAGTTAAGAAAATGTTGTGCTGAATGGTTATGTAGCTGTGTTTGAGCAGATTCTTTTGTCGAGAACAGAGATCTAAATTTTACCTTTGAGTCCTTACATCGAACTCCTGTATGCACGTAACGTAAAGACGGTCTTCCTCTGTCTGGAGCAAACAAACAAACAGGTGCAAGGCAAAAGTCACAGCTGCAAAAAGAAAGCCTGCAATCTGGCTACCTGCGTTCAGGTGATCTGCCGAAGCAGTGTGCGCACGGTTGCTGCTAACTGTGAACAGAGAAAGTTATCCAAGAAATAAGCAACACGGCTGTTACAAATGTGAACACAGAAGGAAACAAAAGAAAGAAAGAAAAAGAAAAAAAGAAAGAAAGCATGGACGTCTCTCCGGTAGGACCCTACTGGTGGAGGCGCCGTGCATGCGTCAAACAGCTGCTGGCCGCTGCTTGTCCTGAGGGCAACATGGTTTTTACACACACACACACACACACACACACACACACACACACACACACACACACACACACACACACACACACACACACACACACACACAATCATAGCTTGTAAGCTTGTAAAGTTGCAACCACAATCGAGCTCGAGCCTTGGACCTGTTTACGTGTGCGTGTGAATTAATGAAGTTAAAAATAACCTCTGCAGCTCCAGCAACACATACTGAGATATCAGTAGCGGCAACAGCCTAAACACAAAGTTTCTGTAAGTCTTTAAATTAAGAAAGGAAAGTATTTTTATAGCACAATTTTTTTTTAAATAAACAGGAACAAAAACAACAAAATAATATATTATGTTAATTATAAATACTGTAATAATGATAAAATTATATTTAAAAATGTAATTCCAGTATTACAATACGACCTTGACCTCACCACCATACCTCACTGCGCTCACCGCTGTGCTGGAGAAAACCAAGCAGTCGCTGTTAAAGGGGGTAAAAATCCAAGAGGGTGCTGGCAGGAGCTGAATGGGGCGGGTGGAGGGGTGAGAAGGGGGGGGGGGGGGGGGGGAGGGGGGGGGGGGTAAGGGGATGGTAAGGGGGAGGGAGGGTGGGAAGGTGAGATGGTGAAGAGAGAGCAGGAGGAGGAGGAGGAAGAGGAGGAGGGGAAGAGATAAGTGATCTAAAGGGGAGACGATAGGACAAAAAAAAAAGTGATGATGATGAATACATTGGAAAGTTTTTTGGCCCCGGCGAGGGTGTCAGATTGAATGGCCTGTGCGCATGTGCGAAGGTATCACAACTGACAATGCTGGTGAGATGAAGATAGTGTTGTTGCTGCTTCTGGGCTCACGGAGGACGACGAGAGGAATCTACAAGCCGACAAGATGAGATCCAAGGCGAGGGCGAGAAAACTGGCCAAAAGTAGGTCTTATTTTTTCCCCCATTCTTATCGCGTTAACCCACCGGCTCCAAACTCCCGGCTCCGTAGATGTCCACTGTGTCCTTGTCATTTGCCATATCCTTAAGAGAGGATATGACTACTCTTTGTTCAAAAATAACTTTTCCGCTGTAAACATGTCCCGTTTCGGCCGCTCAGTCTCGTTTCCCTGCGTGTTGCGGTCTTGGCTTCGCTGGTTCCAGTGTCAACAAAAAAGAAAAAGAAAAGTTTTCATGTGTGATGAGAAACGCCGCTGGTGTTTTAGCTGATTACACTCCGATAAAAGGCATAGATAAACACTGTCTCCCAGAATTGAGCCTCATCTCGTATTTTTGCTCTTTATCGGTTGTCGCGGGCTTCCGCGAAGGCGCAGATTCCTCTCCTGAAGCTACCGAGAAAGTTGTCGAAATGGATAGTAACTTTTTTTTTCATAGAGCCGTTTCAAGTCTTGTGAAATAATATTCCCTGCTTTTAAAATAGTGGGCGCTGTGGCACTGCTCTGCTGCTCGCCGCAGAGCTCACGGCGAGCCTGGGCGCACTCTTTCATTTGCCTGCAAACTGAGACGCAGAGATGCAATTTTAGAAAGGAAAGAGCAATATTTTAATGAGGACTTTTCTTCTTCTTCTTTAATTCGATCCTGCTCAAATCTCAGCAGATATTGCTCTCCCGCTAATTTGTTTCGTCCCAAAACCCAAGGCCACTGGACTGCAGCAGCAGGCTGTTTCCTCCTCGAGGGAATGCCAATCAATAATGTGTCTTGAGAGCGCCCATACGACGACTTTTGTGGGCTGCTGGACGCGTCACACGGAAAATTCATGTATTCGGTTCTTTTTTTTTTAGTGTGAGTGTGAACATGAGCACTTTGTTGTTGGAAATGGACCATGTTTATCGTTTGACATTTGTTTGTTGTTGGTGGGTTGATTTATGAATTACATTTACTTAAACCGCCGATTTTATTCTTGCATGAATGCACTTTGGCTTCCACAGCCCTGCGTGGATCACTCGGCTTGATTTATCCACAATTCATTTGAAAGACAAATGCTTCACAACATCGCGATTTCTATTGCGGGCCTGTTGTCATTTTATTTTGTTTCTGCCTTGGTGTTTGTTTTCTTCCAAACCATAGTGACTTGAGCTGTGGTTTTGTGAAAGCTTGCAT